CGTCAAGATTTTATTAAATTTATCAAAAATGTATTTGTATAGAAAATCACAGAGGTTGGCCAGTTATTCAAATTCAAGTGATAAATGAACTTGTTACTGCCGCTAATCGCATGGGTAATCCAGCATTGTCAACAAGGCACATGACATTTTTACTTCAAACAATGTACAATTATTTAACTCCTAGTGAACGAAAAGAAACTGCTTTGCAACTTCAAAACGTGTCTCAACAATGCGAAGGTGCTCCTGTACCTCTCGTAAGTTTTATGAAAATATTAAGCATAGCATTTTCAAAATTGACGATAAAATTATTCCGAATAGGTTTTAGATTCTGGAACAGTTATACCGCCTGCTAATTTAACGAATATTCCAAAGACCAAGTTATTTATTTTAAAAAATATGCAACCACATCTTCAACCTCAAAAGATTGAGAGAGCTAAAGAAGATCATGGTCCATTTTTATTTACGCCAATTAATTTTGGATCATTAGAGAGAAAAAATATATCTAAAAGCAAAGTTGGTACGTTCATGTATCAATTACGCATTATTTACAAATATTACTCATATTATAATATAATATAAAATATAATGTGATTTATATGTATTATAATGATTATAGATTATTTATGGGTAGAAGGCGATATTTGCGAGGTATCAATGCAACTTATTAATCCCTTACCGTTTGAACTTCATGTTTCCAATATGAGACTTCTTACAAATGGCGTGGTATTCGAATCAATTCCCGAAAGCATTACACTTCCTGCTGAATCAGGACCAATTGCAGTAACATTAGCAGGCAGGCCTAAAGAAGTTGGAGATTTAGAAATTCTTGGCTTTAGTACACATACATTAGGAGTGAAATCAAATTGTAGATTAAGATATATGGAGGGAATGGTTCACTCCCAATATACTGTCGAAGTAGTTCCAGCTTTGCCGAGAATAGAAGTAGCTACAAGTTTGCCTCAAACTGCAAGTTTTAGCTCTGGAGATAATATAGTAACTAGTGCAAGTATATCATTATACGGCGGAGAAAGGTATAATCTATTATGAATAAGTATAATATCAAATATATAATTTTTTTTTACTAAAGCTTAGTAGCAATTTTTATATTGTAGTGCTGAATGTACCATAACAATTACAAATAGTGGCCAAGTTCCTATTGAAACAATTGAATTATCAATACAGTCAACATTAGACACAGTATTGGAAAGTAAAATATTTAAATGGAGTGATGAAAATTTAATGGCACAATTACCATTACAAGCTGGTGCTAGTGCCAGCCTTACCTTGTATTTGTATGCAGCTACAGATTTTATAGCACCTACCTCTCGAAACGGTAACATCAATTATTTTTATTCCTTTTTTCTTTCTTCAATAACGACAATGTAATAAATATCCTTAAATATCTTTTAGATGTTAGCAGCAGTACATATCTCAGTCAACCGAGCAGTTTAATGTCTCATTCAGGACACAGTTCGTTACCCTCTAGATTAAGTTCCCCGTCGCATACAAAGAGACAATCCGAATTAACTTCCTCATTCAGATCAGGTTTAAGTTCTCATTCTGGACGTTCTTCCTTGGCGAGTTCGCGTTTATCCAAGCTTGCAGTTCCGTTACATACATCAAATGTTGTCGAAGGGCAATTAAAAATAAAGTATTCGGGTGGCGGAGGTCTAACGGCAGGCTACTGTCGTATCTCGTCAGTTTTTATTACAATTGAAATGTTACCTAGCGTGCAAATTACAAATTGGGATGTGCTTCCAGCAGAAACGTAAGTTAACGAAAATATGCCATTGCATTTCAATTTAAATATTATATTATATTTTCAGACCGTCCCAATTTTACCTCGTGTTAGATTTAACAAATATGACTAATCATGAAATGGAATTGCATTACACACAAACTAAATGTATATACATGGAGGGTAAAGAACCTTGTAGAATACCTGTACCAGTTGATCGATGTCCACTTAATAAATTATCAATGGTAATAAAGAATTTTATATACTTTATAATTAAGAAATATAAATATACTGTTTTGTATTTTATTAATAGTTAAACGGAGCAGGTGATGTCGGAGAGCTTCAGAAAGTTTGTTCGGAACATATTGCTTCATTAGTTGATTTACGTTGGCAATTATTAGGTACAGAATCGATCGGTAAAGCAACTCTTTCTGGTATTACCCTTACTCAAGATATGTTGGATCTTGTTAGAATGAGTCCCTTACAGTGGGGTATGTCTGAATAATCGTTGTATAATTATCGTTTATCAACTACGTTAATAACTATTAAATTAATAAATGCTTTTTAGAAATAAAAATAAATGATGCAGTTGTAAAGGCTCAAGACGAACTTACATGTAATTTAGGTGAATGCGTTAGTGTTGGAATAGGAATATGTAACGCTTTAGAACATCCATTGAGCGATCTTATGTTATCTATCAATTTTTATCAAGATCATCATAATGGTGTAAATAATTATCAATTAGAAACGAGATTATCCATCGCTGGTGCAAACAAAGTCATGCTTCCGGCAGTAAGTTACTTTATCACTAAAAATATTGTCACAGTAATACACTATCCTAATAATTGTTTTTCTTGTGGTTTTATTTTTATCTTTTTTTTTAGTTACAGGAGTATGGAAGAGTTTATCACGAATGTCGTGTAGTATTTTTTACAACTGGTCAATATAAAATTGATATTCAGTGTAGTAGTAAAGAGTCAACTCCAAATACACCAGTTGTTTGTTCAGAATTAATAAACGCTGGACACACGTGGCGTTATATACCACCAATAGAAATAACTGTTGACGATTAAATCCGTGATTTTGTAACATTTATCAAACAGGAAAAAAAATGAAGTATATTTATGCTTTGTTATTATTATTGTATGCAATAAAATTTAGAAACTTTTACTTTTTTTAATAAACTATCGAAAGATATTTGCTTATTATTTTTCGATGAAATACATGTTTCAAAAATATATAATTATATTTTATATAATTTATCTATATAACTTATGTCATTTAATTATATTTTTTGCTTCTTTCCTAAAGGAATCATTTCCATTTCTTGTAAATTTTTTCTAAATTTTTTATAAAACATAAGCACATCTGAATGAGCCCATACCTGCTTGTTATCAAAATCTAAAACTCTTAAACATTGTAAACTTTGTGCTCTCGAAAGAGCCACATATGACTGACCAGCATTAAAAACTCTTGTAAGACACATCTCAACACAATCTAAAGTTAAACCTTGACTTTTATGAATGGAAAAAGCCCATGCTAATTTTAATGGAACTTGTATCCTGTGAATAATATTTCCTGTATTTGTTTTTAAATTCCATTTTTCTAATTTTGCATGATATTGGATGCCTGATTTAAATTGAATTACAGGTACACTTTCTGCAAATTTAATAACTACCCCCCTTGCACCATTTACTAAACCACTTGCAATATTTATATTTTTTAATAGCATTACTTGAGCACCTACTTTTAGTACTAATTTATCAGGAACAGCCAATTGTTGATTCAATGTGGCAGTCATTGACTGGTCAGAATCTTGGGCTGTATAAGTTTTAAGTTCACTTTTTAATTCATTTAACTGAAATTGATTGATTTCTTCAGCTTCATTTACATGAGAACAAAGTCTCGTTGCTAAAATGCCATTACTTTCTATTTTCTGTTTAGCTGTTGATTTAAGCTTTTCTGCAATTTCATCTGTCACTCTACCTATTCTAATATTATTTAAGATCTTAATAAATTCAGGATCTTTTTGTCTATGAACAGTTTGCAATTCAAAATTAAAATGTATGCAATTTTTCCATGCATTACTTTGAAAACAGAACTTTGCCTTGTTTTCTTTTGAGACTGGTGGTAGTTGGAAGAAATCTCCACATAATATCAATTGTATTCCACCAAATGGTCTTTCATTCTTTCGAATATGCCTAGCAACAGCTTCAATCTTATCAAAATAATCTCCATCAACCATAGAAATTTCATCTATAATTAAATGTTTTGTCTTTCTCCATGCAGTTGCAGAGGAATTACGTGAAGCCATTTGACAGCATCTGTCTAAATTTGCGGTTCCTAATCCAATTCCGGCAAATTGATGCAAAGTTATACCACCTATGTGGCACGCTGCTACTCCTGTGCTGGCTGTAGCTACCGTGACATCAGGGGGGAGAGCAGCTATTATCTTTTTTAACAAAAATGACTTTCCAGTACCTGCGCTACCAGTAAAAAATACATTTTTACCGCTAATAACTGCATCGAGAATTCTACTTTGCTCTTCAGTAATTTCCCCTGTGGTTGGATTCTCGTATAGTTTTCTTGCAGTAGATGACTTTGATGAATTTTCATTCGACCGTTTTCTCTTTTTAACAACGCTAGGAGATGGTGTCGTTATTGTTGCACGTGATATAGCGATAGCTTCTCTCGCTTTATTTATTTCAGCACTTGTAACGGGACTAATTTCTTGATGCTCGCCGATCGGTTTGTTAGAAAGAAGTCTTTCTTTTAATAGATTTTTCCTTACTTGATCCGAGTTGCCCGAAATTTTAATGTATATCGTTTTCAGAAAACTGATTAGTTGCATTGTCGGTGCATTTGACAAAAACAGTGTGCAATTCTCTTCTTTAAATTTGATAGAAGCTTTACCTTCGGTCATAAACTTGTTGAAGACAGATATAGATTTCAGCGTTAGCTTCGTCAATAAATTTGCTTTCTCTGCGCGTACTTCGATAAACATTTCACGAAGATTATTTCTGACTAAACGTAAAGTTGCTGTCCGATGATTCGTCTTCTTTAAAATCGAACCTTGTGAATTAGTTCTCTCGATTGTAACAGAACACGTTACTGAACAATTATCCTGATCCATTTTCGTTTGTAAAAATAAATTAGGTTAAATCTAAGTGCAAAAATTAGTTGGTCGAATATTAGACAAAATATTTAAAAGATTATCGGCACATTAAAAACGAAACAAGTATAAGTTTTTTATAACAGAATACACTGTTCTAACTATTATTGACATTCTCTTGACGCCATAATTGACTGATTGGCGCCATATTCTAGGGATATTTTCTTCAAAGAAGAATAATTTTCATTATAAACGATTGGTAATAGACTGTAGTCCTTCGGTAACATTGATTAAACATTGATTAAAAGCATGATATAAATATAATATTATGTAGAATTTCATGTCTCACGTTCTAAAATATTGATCTTGAAAAAAAAAATAACAATATTACTATAATTTGCTATATCAAGATTCAATCGATATATAAGATTTGAATGTATTATAGAAACGTCAATTTTTGGCGGGAAGCACAACAAAATTGTATTATTTAGAAGTGCTTAGGCAAAATATATCTAGATTTAAAACAAAAAGCATTATTTAATTTAAAAAATATTCCAATTATTGATGTTGATTAGAAATTAACATAGAATGTAGTCGTAAAAGTCTTTTTCAAAAGTTCGAATATTTTCATGAGAAAACACAAGTATGGAAAATTTTGTAAAATAGATATAACATAATTAAAATAATAAAAACTTTCCACTAAAATATGTAATTATATTCTGTAATTGTATTTTATATTCATTAATTCAATTAATTTTCTTTCCAGTAAATTAGCGCTTGTACGCACACATAGATATTTATGTTTCAGTTTATACCTTTGAAATATTTTCATTGGATACCCCACCCCACCAAATTAACGATGACGCGAACCTGTTGCGCGAGGGTTAGTCTATTACCAAATATTGTAGAGTCAAGGCGTATTGTCGCGTATGATGTTTATTAACTGCGTAATATTTCATCATCATTGTTTATCGTTCATAACCATCTTAGTATTAACATCGCTTATTCAACGTACGTTTTTATACAATAATTTATTAAATACTATTATAATAATGTAACAATTCTGACTTACTTTTTTGATTGTCATGTTTATTGATAATTTGTTTTGAGCTTTCAAAATGTTGATCTTAATGTTATTCTTATATCATTTGTTTCTTCATTCATTTATTATTTTCAATCATTATTATTTATTTAAAAACTTGCTTTCCTTTTGTGGAGATTGATTACGACTTTGAAAAATTCGAAGTACTAAGGAAACGCCGCGAAATTCAAAACGATGCCACCTGAAGATGTGGTAAGACAGATGTATCTATATTCTGTTTTTAATAGATGTATTTATATTCGTTTTCTCTTTTTATTAGATTTTTAACATTTATTTTGTAGTCAATTGATATACATTGTTAACAATCACGGTCAAATTTGAAAATCTTCAGGTTCTGCGCCTCGTGTTATTTGAATATTGCGCAGCTTTGCTTAACCGGCAAAAATATGTGCCATATTTAATTTTTATAATATGAAGCATGTTAGAATCTTTAATCGCACTTTATTTAATTTTATCCTAGTATTTTACATTAATTATTATTGATTAAAAGATAGAACCTGTTTGAAAATTAAACTTTTCATTCTTGAATTGAATATTATTATATAACCCTATCTTTAAGAACAAATTGTAATTTTCTATGTTTCTTTACAGATTCCTTCAAACTGTTACTTCTTTCATGAAATTTGACGATTCCTATTTAATGACAAGCTTGATGATAATTATCTCTGAGTCACAACTGCATTGATGACAACATTCTTCGCAAATAATTGTAAGTCTCATACATTTTTGTTTTTTTGATCACTCATGATAGATAGGATGAAATGTCGGGATTGTTATATTGTAGAATTGACGAGTATTTATTATCTGTGAATAGTAGTATTTTCTTTTCTGTGTTTTATTTATTAGTTTAGGATAGGTTTTTCAATCATCTTTATTTTTGAACTATTGAAAGCAAAAAAGTTAATTTTTTTAAAGTTCATTTTTTAAATTACGTATATGCAGTTTTAAAAAAAGATTTAATCATTAAATAAATTTTCAAGAAATTCGTTTTGTTTTCTTTTTATTTTATAATATTGGAAATTATAAGTAACTTGTTACTTTAAATTTATCTTACAAAAATTGTCGTGAAATTATGATGGATTAGATATATTATTCATAAACTTTATTAATGAATTTTTAACTTTATTTAAAAAATGTGAAATGAATTAACTTATAGCATAAGATTTGTTTATTCTGGCATTAATTTTCAAGTAGATTGTTCATAAAAATCACTATTCTGAATCGATAATACTGTATGTAAAATGAAATAAAAATGAAAACATAGAATGTCATGTCTATTCTGTGCTTAGTCAATGCCACAAGATACTTTGTAATTTCTTGAACTTTAGATAAGATGGAAGATATAACATATAGGGTAATTCTTTTGCTAGTTATCTCAAAGGCAGAGCTGCCAATCATATGGTGATAAGGCTATTGTGACTTGTCATTAATAGATTGTGGATTTTTATGCACTTTAATTCTTTTATAAACAAAGTTAAAAAAAATGAAGATTAAGTAAAAATTTTTTTTTGCTATTAACAAAGAAAATTTGATATTTTCCACAGGTGTAATTTACATAAAGCTAATAATATTATAGTACTCTTCTTGTATATATTTTCTGCATTTTTGTACTCTTATTTTCAATAAATGCATAATGATCCGCAATATAGTTATTCGAGCTTAATATCGCCTCTATATTTACGGTAGAAATGCTGTGTGATGTGCATGTATGTGAAATCAAGATGTGAGTGTATGATCTATTATGCAATTAACAGAACATTAGCCTTCGAGCTAACTAGAAAGCATTTCACACTTTATTGGTTTTTTAAAAATATAAACTAAAATGTGTAGTTGATACTAAATTATTGTATTTCATTTTATCAAACTATATAAACACCATAATCTGATTATGGTATTTACGATTAATAGTTACATACATAAACTCAAATGCAAATAAACAATAAATACATTTGTTGTGTTGAAATAAAATTTAACGATTTAGACAAAAATCTAGCTATTCATTATACATTAACTTATAGCTTGGACGCTAATAATTAATAAAATTTTCAATACGTTGGACAGATGTTGATAACTTACACGATACTTTTTTTATCACCATATTTACAAAATGGTGTTAATCCTCGTAACTATTCATTTAGATGGGGACATATAAATAGATGTACATATAATATACATATATTGTCTGACATTTAACATAGAAAAATCAGAGTGCGGGTCATCTGCATTCAAGGCTTACTCGTTGAAAAAATACTGCGTTCTGTGATATGAAATTCGACTGGAACAACACGCAATTTATTTCCACTTTTATCAACATACTATATCGTAATACCGCCTTTTTTATTATTTCCATCCACCACGTACGACAGGTAGTCACTGGTAACTTTCGAAGAGAAGCATAAGCCAGAAGACAACACAGTGAATTTCCTTTCTTTTTTTTTTTTTTTTTTT